TTATCCGGAAGAAACGGCTGCCCCGGGTAGAAATTTTTCCTACTTATCCCTATTTCGACTGATTTAGGCCAGATTAGTCTTCCCTTACGAAGAGCCTCGAAACTGTGGCTCCTGCTACTGCCCCAGCTCCAGCCCCTGCCTCCAGCTCCAGCTCCAGCCCAGCCCCAGCTCCCACCTATGATTCGAGGCCGTTGTGCCGGTTTGTTTCTAGCTGAATAAGACTTGAGAAAGAGTTTCAGATGACCGAAGAGCTGCATATGCCGGCAAAAACGACAACTCAGGCCACGACACAACAAACAACACCCTACCAGGAGCCCTACGAGGAGACCTATGATGATGAGACGAACGCCCCGGAAACGTGGGTCCGCTTCGAAAAAGTCAACTTCCACCATTCAGCTTGAAAAAAGCAATTTTTTTTGACCATCCCATGCGCAGGTTATCATTCAATTTTACCCCTCAACCGCCATTTTTAGCTTCAAAATTCTAAAAACGCTATATTTTACGCGCCGGAATTTAAAAAACACGATTTGAAAACCTTTTCAGCTTTTGTAAACCATTTTTTTAAGCGTTGCTGCGGAAAACGTTGCTGAGCTCTACCAATTAATTCGTGTTTCTAGATGATTAAAATTATTTCAGTCCGGCCCCAACCACGGCCGCTCCCGCGAAGCACACCTATGGACCCCGGCCGAAGCCGACGTGCCCGCCCCCGGAAGAGGCACCATGAACCACAGGCTTGACTACCCCATCGCGTCGTGCTACACTAATCCTGATGGTAAACTACTTATTAGTCAGATCGACATTGTCTATGAAAAATCCCGGAGAAAAAACTGGGACCAGGGCGAAATCGATGAAACCTGAAAACCCCACCTATCTGGTCCTAAAAAACTCGCATATTTTCGTTTTTACGCTTTGTTTCTTTTGAAAACGACAAAGCTAAGAAGCTACAAACACATAGGCACGCCAACTGTGGAAACCGACGAAATTTGAGAACTCATCTTTTTAGTTTGGTTTCTAAAATTTCAGATTTTCATGTCCAGAATTTCTTCCTTTTCCTTATTTTTTTTCAAATTGTGATCGAAAATTCGAATCCAAACTTTCTTCAGGTTTCATGTGCTGCACAGCATGCTGGAAGAGGTGCTCAAGGACGCCACCAACTGCTCAATAAGATAATCGGCTGGGATGAACTGCAACTCGCAGCAAATTCCAGACCCGACCAGAGAAAAATCGAGCAGAAATGATGATTCCCAAACAGGAAAGCATTTTCGAATTTGTGTTTGGTTTGGAAAAACCCGTTTCAGGAGCGCTATGAGAAGAAGTTCGGCACGCCCTTCGAGACGATCACCGGCATCGGCGATTTCGCCTCAAAATCTCATTTTTATTCGGATCTGATCTGCAAGATTAAGAGGGAGGATCTGCAGGTAAATTCAAATACATAAAGTAATGACCAAAAATACCGAATTCGACTTTTACAAATAATTTTTCGGTGTTTTTCGTAAAATTTAGTTACATCTAAAATGGAAAAACCTATTCTGTGTGGTGTACTCTCCTTAATTTGGACAATTGTGGCAAACTTATAATATTTGGGGTAGGAAACTTGTTTAGAAAAAGCTAGAAAAGTGCCTGAAAGTTCGAAATTTGGGCGAAAATCGGAAATTTTTACCTAAAAACGCTATTTTTATTTTGTGTTTTCAATAAGAATTGTAACGTTTTTCGGTATAGGATTTAGAATGGAATACAAAAAAGTATAGCAAAAGCGACAAACTGAAACTTTGAAACAAAATCTACTTTCCAGCTTCATCCTGGCGTACGCGACGCCGAATCGACACGAGAAGCCGATCAACAGCCGGCCGCGTACATCGTGCTCATCGAGACCGGAAGCCGCCCAGCCGCCCACCTACTTTGTGCCCAAGGTTTGAATAGCTTTTTAGACGCCTTAAAACCCAGTAAAATCATTAAATTATCTATTAAAATTTAACTTATGAAAACAATCGTATTATTCTAAGTTCAGGCCCGCCCGCTTGCCCCGGCAGCGCAAGTTCCCGTCGCCCCAGCTGCAAATTATGCCGAGGTTTTTCTAATCGAGTAAAAGTATAAAAAGCGAAATTTCAGACAGCCCCGTCTGCCCTGTCGAATTCTTGCCGCCTGCTCCATAACGGCCCATACGCAACTACTGAAACAAACCGCAATTCTGCAGCAACAACCGCCACAACAACAGCACCAGTTCTCCCAATTCCAGCCACTCCCGCAGTTCCCGCAGGTCGGTAGATGAACACATAACGAATCTTTGATAGCAAAAATTGGTTAAAAATTGCTATAAAATTTTTAAATTTGAATTTTTAACCTTCTCTATTCGAAAATCAATTGTTGTTCGCTATAAAACCTATATTTTAGCAGTTTTCAACCAAATTCTATAGTTTTTTACGGGTAGTACCGACAGTGCAGAAACGCTTCCTCTATTCTTATTCGAAAGACTAGGACCTAAGGAAAAGAAAAAAAACACTTAAAAAATTTCCAATTTTGTCGAAAATCACTTGTAGCTCAAAATTGGGCGCGGTTTTTAATATTTATAAATAGTAAAGTAGTTCACAACTTAACAGCGCTTTTAATAAAAACATGGCTAGATTTCTAGTAAAAAGAAAACTGGCCAGGAAAACGGAGAAAATTATGCCGAATTTCGAATTTTGGTCGAGCAATCTATATTTTGGAATTTTCCAACGAAAACTTCAGGTTTTTACGTTCAAAAAAAGTGGAAAATTAGGGTCCCAGTTCTTCCGTGTTACCCGTATATTGGAAAATGGACTCAGCTATATATTCTAAGGTTCTGAAAAAGACCCAAAACATCAAGTTTTGAAGGGTTACAAAATCACGAAATATACAAAATTACGAAACAAACATTTTCAGACACCAGCTTTTCCCGTGCAAGCCCCCCAACAGTCCTTCTTCAACCAATTTTCCTTCCAAAGCTACCCCAGCCATCCTCCCACCGGCCAATACGCCTCGCCCAGCAGGGGGCCGCGTTTCAAAATTCGGAGATTGCAAGTGTCTATCTGTACAGGGTGTAATTTTAACAACATTTGCCGCCAAAATGAGATCCCACATGAGAAATCACATCACATCAAATGAGAAAACGACAAAGCTAAGAAGCAGAGGTTGTTGGAGAAATTTTCTTTGGCAAGAAAAATGAGAAAAGGCGAATAAAATAGCAGTTTTCATTGCTTTTTCTTAGTTTTAAAAATTGTTGGTGTTAACCAAAGTCTTCCAAAGCTTAAATTATACCCCGGATAGGCCGGTTTTTCGCAGGATATATGTGTTTTCAACGGGCGGGTTTTTAGCCCTCAAACACACTGATTCGCGGGCGCGCGCAATAGAAGTGACAACCTCTTAGGTAGCGTCACGCAACTGATTACTCGATGTTTTGCCGGAAAGAAAAGCTATTATAACCTCGGTTGGTAAAGCTGACAATGGGGGCGCCAACTGGGGTGCCATGTCGGGACGCGCAGTCGCGCCACTAGCTAGCGCGGGGCAAAAGCGCCCGTTGGCGCGCCTTATTTGTCGGATTGCGCCCGTGGAGCGCCCATTTCTTTCAGCTGTTCCTACCGGGGTTTTTAATAAAATAGTTTTTATTATGAATAGGGGTGTATTAGCATCGCTTTTGCGATGTAGTACACGAGAAGAGGTGCATCCGACGTGTATGCCCAAAAAAGTTGTCGATCTGCGCACCTAAATAGCTTGTTCAGGAGCATACCTTTGGGTAAAACCTATTTTGTTTTTACTTCCATAGCGCCAGCGCACGTATTTGATCTAAAAGCCAGCTAACGTATCCTTTAATTATTCTGGTCGCCTGCCACCCGCATTGTTCTAATTTCAAACGGTTAGAAATTGATAAAAAGTTAACCTAAATGTTTCTTATTCAGGGAGGCTTACTCTTACTTAATCATGTAGGCGCGCGCCGTTCTCAACTTCATTATTGTTTGAAAATTTAGCTTTATAGAATAGATGGTCAAAACCTGCAATGACTTGGTCACATAAAATCAAACTTACGAAGCTGTCAAAAACTTTGTACCTGGGTCCTTGGGAATTCGCAATAAGTAGCAGATCGCTAACGTTTCAACCGTTACTTTAGACAAAACAACCGTGATCATAAATTGTGTTTAATAAAATTCCACCTAAATTGAATAATTCGAATTGTTTCAGAATTGTAGGGACTTAGCGAAATTTTTGAACCGTTGAAAGGTGTTCAAGAATTCAAATGCGCCACGGGCGCTTCTTTTTCTTCGCAATTGCGCCACTTTCGCGCTTTTTTTGTATAATTTCGCGTCTGCGCCAGTGGCGCTTCCTTCCCTGGAGCGCCATTGGCGCTCCCACTTTTCGTATTGGCGTTCGCTAGCGCATTGATGAAGTTTTGGACCGCTGGCGCTTTATTAACCGAGAAGAGTTTTAAATATATTGCTTTGATCGCAAGTTTAGTTGCAACGACAAAATTAGTAGCAATAACGTGCACAACGGCCGATTGTATATTATGCTCAGGTTGACGCTTCCTCCAATAGCAGCTAAATCTTTTCCTGTGCTTGTGGGTACAAAGCCAAATATTTTGAAGATCAAGAGGCATCACACGATGGGGCATCAGGATTGACAAAGGAATTATAAAATCAGTTATGTCTTATGACTTTCTGTGTATCCACTAAAGAAGATCGCTGGCCACACTTCCAAGCAAGAGATACACGATAAAAAGTAGAATTTCCTATGTTCACATAGGTTTGAAAATCACAATTATGAAATAAACAAGATTGTGCTGAGAAACTAGCGGGTTTTCAACATATAGACCAAAAATCCACCAAAACTAAAAGGAGCTTCGATTTTGTCTTCCTTCGATGGCGAACTTCCTGTCCATTAGAGTTTTTTGCAGGCTGCTCTTACGCTGACCGGCAGCTGATTGATTCTGAACAGCAGGACTGTCTTGGTTCCAGTTTCTACAGAGCATACTTTTACAACTAGCAAGAAACAACTTTTACAACTTTCTTCAGAGTGATCGTCGAGTCCGGAAAGATATCGGTTAAATTTTTGCGCGAAGCATACATAGTCGCGATTTTTTGACCAAAATTACTCTCGCTGATTGCACCTGCGCGTGCCGAGCCGAGAAGCCAGAAAACTCGGCGAAATATATTTGATATCCTCCTGTAACTGCATCTTGCTCTTAGTAGTAGTTTATCTCAGTTGACCATGTCACCATTGTGTCACCGAGAATCGGCACCATGGTGTCTCTACCTCTTCCGTAAACAAAAATACTGGCGGTGACAACACGGTGGCCGTCTCGGTGACACCAGGCAGGGTAATCGGTGGCACCACGGTGGGTTTTCTCCAGGGTATTCCTCAGTGGGAATATTACAAAAGAAACATACATTGTAATTACACGCATAATTAGTGATTTATTGTCTAATATTCTATAATATAAAATACAATAGCAAAAACTAGTTTAATATACAAAAACTTTGTAAAAAATCATGAAAACGCGTACCTTTTCATCTTTCGGTAACTGTTTCGGGGATCTACGGACGTACCGTCTCCATAATGTACCACACCACCGTGACACCGTGCCTGGCACCATGGTGCCACCGCGAATCGGTACCATGGTGTCACCAACCAGCGATCCATGGTGCCTGGACCCCGATCCATGGTGACACCGAGATTTGATTCACTCACCATGGTGACACCGAGTTTTATGGTGCCACCATGGTGTCGTCTCAACTGAGATACGTTTAGTAGTTGGTTTTATACGTACAAGCAAGGAAAGATTTAGCGCCCCGTTGTAAAGCGTCAACCTGAGCATGTTATTATACCAATTTTGTCGTTAACCAAACTTCTGCGACTAAAGAAATATATTTTGTTACTCTTATAATAGCTTTTCTTGCAACAAAACATCGAGTAATCAGTTGCATTACGCTGCCTAAAAGGTTGTCACTTCTATTGCGTGCCCCCGCGAATCAGTGTGTTTGAGGGCTAAAAACCCGCCCGTGTTTTTTCAGCTAATTAGCCTTGCTTCTTCTGAATACACTACTTATGAAACTTTTGTGCTTTTGTATATTGTTTTCTTGTCTAAATCATCGAGAAACAAGTTTTTAATATCAGGAAAGTATAAATAAGAGCCAAACGTGATTTTTTCCTGGAAAAGCCCAACAAATCGCGAATAAAGTATACGTTTTGATTAGATTTCTTTTTCCCAAGTCCATTTTATCAAACATGTGGATGCATCTGCGCGGAAATGCTACGGACTAACTACCAATAAAGCGACAACCGGATAAAACTATCTTTTTGAGTGAACACACACAACACGGCGTTATCGAAGACTCACGGTCCGAAAACCGGCCTATCCGGGGTATAATTTAAGCTTTAGAAGACTTTAGTTAACACCAACAATTTTTAAAACAAGAAAAAGCAATGAAAACTGCTATTTTATATGCCTTTTCTCTTTTTTCTAGCGAAAGTTGCTCAAATGTCGTTGCTAACCTGTCATGGTCCCAATTTTATGCAAATTGGGTAGTCCGCCCGTCCAGCCCGTCCAGCCCCGGACGCGCGCGGGCCGGGCTCGAAATGACCAACCCTGGTCAGGACTCCTCTGATGCATGGCTTGAGCTCACAAGGAGATGGTCTCAGCTCGGAATCGAATTCGGATTTGTACTTTGGTAATACTTATAGAGCACGACGAGACAAATCGATTGGTGTAACTTTCAGCTGCTGATACAATAATCACGCCGAGTTATAAGCATTTTAAGTTTTTGCATACATTTTGCAAGATTCTGGCTATAGCTTCATAGTCCTTCCCCGCTGCCCCCATCACCGTGGTCTGGTGTCCTAGTGGTGTAGTAGGCGGCCTCCGGGGAATCTAACGAGGGTTCGAACCCACTCACGATTTTTATCTTTTGCTTTTTGGCACAAATGCTGCCATTGGCTTTCTGAAGGCCTTGAATAGCTTTTTACGCATTATTTTAACTCATCTGATGCGCAGACAACATAGAACTTCACCGCAAAAAATTTTTCTTACTTGGCATGGAGCCCTTGTCCAGCAACATATGCCTACCATTTCCA